ACCAAAGACTTGACATGACTTCTGCTTAACTGTAGTAGTTTAAAAGTGATGAACTGCATTTAATGTTACACTATATTTTAAAATGGTATTTTTAGGCCATCTAGTGCCCAAGAAATTGACTTTGCAGTGTCACCACCTGCAAAAGCTACCGTACATATATAGTAAACCACTTTTTGTAAAAGCAGAATAAAAAGCTATGTATTTTAGAAAACAAAAGCCATCTTAGACAACAGACATTCTATCACATTGGGCAATTTTAAGTAAAGAGAATATTTGGTGGTAGGAGCTTGTTTTGCTGAAAATTTCTGCATTCCCAGTGCTGAGTATAAAGGCCACCAGTAACTGATTTCCTTTAGATTGTCTAATTTCTCTTTATTATGGAGCACACCTGCTAATTGCACCCTCACATGAAATAACCGAAATTAGCTCTGTTTTCACCAAAGAACAGACGAAATAAAAACTTTTTTGCTGAAGTGGTGTAGTTCTATAAAAGGGCAAATCAAGTTCAACTTAACATTCTTTTAATGTACTATTTTATTATGAATTTCTTTAAAATTAGCCTTTGTTTTTTTAAAGTTAAATTAATTTTTGTTGAATGAAATGACTTCAGGCAAGTCTCTTTTATAATGGTTTTTCAAATGCCATTTATTCTAGTTTATCATGTTTTGTGTTTGTAAGTATGAATGTACTATTTCCTGAAACTTGGCAAATGAATAGAAGTAGAAATAATGACTTTGCTTACCAGTACAAGGTGAAATGATTAGAGTAGAAGTATCTCTTTATAAAACTTTGTCAGGGCTGACTGGTACAATTTTTTTATTCAGTGTAGTTTGTATACATGTTGCCAATAATAAAATTTTGCAACTGGATGACACAAGATTTTACTTGAACAGTAAAGGACAAAAATCATGATAGTAGAAGACATTTTTGAAATCTGATTTTTCCAGCAATCACCCTTAAACCTTGTAATAATCTGAGAGTAAAATGCAATCGCATTGTTGGTTAATGTAAAGATATAACTTTTCTGTGCTGTACTTTCTTCATAGGATTGTAAAGGTATTCTAATTAACTTGCATGATGTAGTAACCCTTTTAAATAAGCGTGTTAAATATGTTGTTTGGATTAAAATGTTGACCTGATTTTACATTTGAAATAAACTCATCTCTCATTTGGAAGTTACCTATCGGTAACATGATGGAGGATGAACTAATCAGCAAAAGGCAATTGTAGTATCTACGTAAATGTTGTGTGCTAACATTATGATTTATAGTTTATAAACTGAAAGACTTAGAAGTATCTCTGGTCACATTCCTATTGCTTACAAAATGAGATGATCTCTGAAAAAATCTGACATCTTACTGGTATCTTTTTGCACAGATTCAGTCATTAGTGGTGAATGCAAGAACTGTATTTATTTATCCTCCTGTCTGACAAGAAAAAATCATGCAAATGTGAAGTAAAGCTCTAGGACTTTACTTAGTGAGGACCTCATTTGTCTCCCTGAACTAAGGCAGCAAATTTCAAAGAGAGAAACTGCCCTTAACAATATATTCTTTTAACTATTTGTATGTTAATGAAGGCAACACTGACGGTAGGTATCCAGAGTGGAAACAAATTTGTCTACTTCAAGCTCAATCACTGTCAGTAAAAGCATCCTCACTTGCCACTAGCCACAATTTTTCCTGATTTGTTAGACAAGAATGGATACAGAAAATGATCCATGGGTTTCCCTGCTTTTTTTGTGCAGTGCTTTT